GTCCCGTACCCTTTATTCCGCCAGCTCCGTGGAATCACGATGTCTCCCCGCATTCGCGATCAGTTAATATCGTCGGTCGGACGAGACCGAGGCGCTCGTCAACGGCCGCACGCAATCGCATCCGATGGAATTGGCAGGTTCGACGATCTCGCGACACACGAAAGTCGATTCCGTGGAATCGCGATCGAATCGCGACGCAAATCGAGCCGGTCGGTCCGATCGAGTTGCGCGAGCGATCAACTCGCGAGAACCGGACGACAATGCGCGCCCGCGTGCAATAATAGTTGAGCGAATACGATACCCACAGGTGGAACAGAAGATGACGACGATGTCGAGATGACGTCAAAATGATGAAAAAATGATCGGAATGTTAGCTTTTCATTAGTAATTTTCCCGTTTCTTATCTATTTATATATCGTCCGGAAATAATCTCTCATACAGGGCAAGTAGATCTTGAGAATATTATAGGAATATTATGAAAATATATCACGTATGTTCTAGATTCCAGGAGGATATCCTAAGGATATGCGAGATATGGTGTATCAGAGATGTTGCAAGGATGTTCTCAGTATGTCGCACATAACCACAGTATCATTCGGTATAAGAATAGAATATATCATATGCTCTGTCCGGGCTCTTTGGTACGATAAGTTATATACAAGAGTCGTAAAGAAAGAAAAAGGAACAGATAATATAAATAGTAAAATACAACAATAAGAACGATATTGTAAAAGAAGTAAAGGAAAAATGAAATAGCTACATCAAGAAGCCGAGAGTTCCTTTTAACATCATGGTCATTTTTTATTCCATCTTGGTGGCAGGACAGGGCGTGTTCTCTCTTGTCCGCTACCACTTAGAGACATCGTCATTGGTTCCGTCCGTTCGCCGAAACGTTCCACCCAACTATTATTGCACCGTGCTTCGCTCGCCTATAGCGTTTCTCTTCTCGGACCGGTCTCTTTTACTGAAACATCCGCGATGCTACTCTCGTCCTTTTCACCTGCTCGCCCGGTTACAAAAAGAGCCCGATCGATGCGGATTTTTCGGGATATTACCGGCAGACCGGATTTTCTATCCGGTAAAGAGGAGAAAAATCAAGATAAGGATAAAAGTGGAGAAAGAAAGACCGTTAAAGCCGCGCGATCGCTCGTAATGTAACCCCATCGAAACCACGCGTCCCACCTGTTTCTTTCTCCTTTAACCCGCATTTATTTACGCATTCCAACGGATTGAAAGCGTTGTAAACGTTGAAATCCTATCGATCCTAACTTGTTAACGCTTCCGGCGTTGTGATCGCGACCATTTTATAGGCACGCACACGCGATTTTCCGACAACCGGTGAGATTTCTCAGAAAACGCTTCTGACGGGACACTCATGTTCTTCCGGAGTATTTGAGAGACTTCGTTGTGAATCGGCGCCGCGTGGGAAATAAGTCACGGTAGAATTTCTTCCGCCACGGACTCGACATGCCGCGCGAGAACGGGTATGGCTGAAACTCCACGAAGTATTGCTCGAAATGGGAAGTTATTTCTGTTTGCTTCATTTGAAGGTTTAATGTAGAACTAAGTAGAATTGATATAGGATGAAAACTCGAGAAGAATGACACTCGCCGAGTTAAAATTTTCCAAGCATTTTTTCGCGACTTATTAAAGGACGATGAGTAAAATAGGCCGATTTTGATCCCCGGGACAGCAAGTATATTTCTTTTTGTAGTTTCCGAGCTGCTGAATCTGATTCTGATCTTTAAGAAATTTTTACTTTGCCGCGAAAGTATTAAAATCAGCGTATGACAAATCAACATTTTTGAAAAGTCAGACTTCAGCAGTTCGAAAACTACAAAAAAAACACATCGTTTTTATTTGCCACTACGGCAGCCAAAATTGGTCCGTTATGTTCATCGTCCTTTGTAGAAGAGAAACTCGTGATTCTCCGATGAAAAAGCGACACGTCGCATCTCTCCGCCTCGAGAAAGACGAAATCAACTTGAACAGAATTCGGTCGCACGCATTAAAACTACGCAGATTCGATAAGAAAATATCACGCATTCTATTACCCCGAACATTACTATATGTAAGGCAAAGTGCGCAATTCGCGCGAATTTAAAAGAACACCAAGCTCGTTCGTTCGCAATTTAGAATAAAAGTTCTTACGCGCGCGCGTAATCGACGTTTATCAAAAATATTAAAAATCAATTTCGAGACGCTTGGGTTTCACGAATTGCAACTATCGTGCGATCCATCCATTCCAGTACAGCTCGACGACTCACATTGGTCGAGCAGACCTTTAGCCGACGAGAGGACTCGATCGGACGATCGATCGTTTGCGAATTTTGCGAAGTCAGGATCGCGCACGTGTGTGTGCCTGTTCGATTTGCGTTTGCGAGAGCCTCCGTGGTGGAATTCGCTCTCGCGATCGACGAGGCTCGCGCAAACACGCAATTAATACAACACGACGCTTTTTTACCATATAATATATGTGTACGCACGTATATATTATAAATAATCAATTAAAGGTTTGCTTTAAACGTAAGTAAAAATATATAGATATATACTCGTATATATTTTTCTTTTCTCTCTCTCTCTCTCTCTCTCTCTCTCTCTCTCTCACTCTCACTCACTTTCTCTTTTTTCCTCTCATATCCGCACCATATATTTCTCTTCTATATATATATATATATATATATATATATATACAGGTTGTAATTTGATATGTGGAAAACACTATAGAGATGCATTCAGTAGTTAACAACAATATAAAATAAGATTCTGTAAAGACACGTCCGATTTGGCCTTTCAAATTATAGCGAGCTTCGTGTTTCAGTAATTCTTCCGAAAGATACTAAAACGCACTTCAATCGACTATTTATCAAAGTTCTCAACAAATCGGAGTAACGCCTGAAGACGTCGAAAGAATACGGAGATCGATGACCATACGTTTACGAGTTAATTGAGATACGAGATAGTCAATGTGAGTATCTCGTACGAAGATAAGCAGACAAAAGTTGCTAGAGAACAAAACTTCCCACATATTAAGTTACACCTTGCAAAAGTGTGTGTATCTCTCTCTCTCTCTCTCTCTCTCTCTCTCTCTCTCTCTCTCTCTCTTCCTCCCTTCCCCCCTCTCTCTCATGTGTGCGTGTGTGTGTGTAAAAATTCGCATATGCATGTTACTTGTGTATAAGTGTAGTCTTTTCCCATTGGAAAAGCAGTGACTAGTGCGACTCGCGATTACTTCGAGAGAAACGCCGACATCACATATGTATGTGTGTATATATATATATACACACACATACACATATCTTTTAATTATATAATTCGAGACTCGTGGAGAGTGTACGCTCGAAAAGTACTTTGCTGAAACATCATTATAATTTATAAAAAAAAAAACAGAATATATTTAATAAAATATTAAACTTTACATATAAGACTATACGATTGCGTCCTAAACTTTTACCCTGTAAAATTTCACGCAAGGAATTAGCCGCACCACACCGGGTGTGTTCCATCGCGAATCGCACTCGTCCGTGTTCAAACTTATTTCGAACACCAAAAAAGATTATCCATCGTCGTCGGATCGTTCTTTCCGTACTCGACGGATTGACCGCTCCCTCGTTTATTGCAAAAACCTCCGAAGAACCGTCCTGTGGCAGCAAAAAATGTCCGAGTTCTCATTTGTATCTCACTACTTTTTATTGTATAACAAGGAATTCCGGTATAATTGTAAACCTGTTCTTTGAGAGATACACATACAGAGAATTAACACAATCGTAAGTCTCTGCTCTCAGCTCTCTGCTTAGAACACAAAAGGACAATGTTTCGATATACTGAAAAAGCAATAAATCTATTAAGAGAGAAAAGTGCGACGGGAGCGTCGAAAGAAACAAACAGACGACAACGGATCGGCAATCGCGAAGTGCAAGTCCGGAGGAGCTTGTTTGTCGTTCCTCCCCCCTCTCTCTCTCTCTCTCTTTCTCTCTCTCTCTCTCTCTCTCACTCTCATTCGTATAAAAAATCTTAAACTATTTAAGCCTACATAATTCGAAGCACTCGGGATGAGCAATGTGCCTTTCGTTCACCGATAGTTTTGTCTTCTGCAATTTTTCCAGTCGCAATCTCTCTCTCTCTCTCTCTCTCTCTCTCTCTCTCTCATACATACACACACACACTCTCCTCGACATTATCTCGCGACGTTCGCCGCTTTGCGCTCTTTCTTCAGGATGAAAAGATTCGGCACCTCGTCGGGCTTTCTCGCTCGCTCGCCTCCATCGTATAACACATCAAAAATTACCGTCACCGTGGCAAAGAGGACACGTCGCAAACATCCATTTGCGCAGGAGTCGTTCGTCATTCAAAAGTGGCACAAATCGCAAATCGAAACGCTCCCGATACACTCTCGACGTTTACCGACCGCTCTGTAAACGCGAGATTTCCCGGGAACGCACTCGAGCGCTTTTCTCTTCTCAGTGTTGCTTCCTGACAATTCGGGGAGCAGGATGCGATGAAGAAACAAATGGAATACAATGGAAGAAAATACAAAAGAGCAGAAAGCAGCAAATATGATCAGGAATAAAAAGCGGATGTCAGACATTTTCTTTGACATCATAATCCTTATCTTATTCTTGACCGATCTTATTTGCAAAGATATTTCTCGTGATAAAACTCAAACTTGCTCAAATGTATTCCATCTCTCGATCCGGTCTGCTCTCCTCATGCATTCCGTACATCGCGATGCTAATTCTTTTTATTTATTTATTTTTTTTTATTATCCTTTGCTTATCCTTTACTTTCATCTATGCCTCCGTTGAGATCATTCGGAACCAAGACGGGCCCCGGCGTGTTCGAACGAGAAAGACCGACTCGACGCGTCGATCGCGAGGACGTGGCAAAATTTTGTCGCAGAAAAGAAANGAAAAAAAAAAAAAAAAAAAAAGTAGTAAAAAAGAGGAAAACACTAGATGATGAAGATAAGAAATCAGGGACGAAGGCAATCGAAAACGACGAACGCGATAACCTTCTTAATCGCTTATGGACAATCCACAAAATTACATATGTACATCCTCCTTCTCGCGTGAACATCCTTAACGCTGTATCCGCAATCTAACGTATAAAAAAAGCTCTCATCGATGAGGCTTCCTCACGATCCGCTGCGGAACGCGATCGAGAAAGGCTGACAAAGACGGTTCGATTCATTTTCGCCGTTAAAGATCTGGTTGCAAGAATCGAACTGGTTTGCTGGTTCTCGATGACTCGACAAGAGATACGATTAAACGCAGAATTCAATAGCGAACTCGTCGATCGCTACATGATACAAAGCACGACGCATTACGACAAACAATATGGCACACCTTTGGTAAATTGCGATGAGTGGGCGTTTACAAATGAGAAAACGATAAAACGGTTCACTTGCTTCGACATTTTTAAAAACTTCACATAAAATATTATGCTCGATTACGTATCGACATATATATATACATATATATCGATATATACATACAACAGAATGTTATCGAATGTATGTATATATATACATACATATATATATACATACATTCGATAACATTCTGTTCACACACAGATAAAATAAGCCTGCTGGATTCTTGCGACCACTCTTTGGTAATTACAAAGCGGTACTAAAACGACACGTCGCGGGTACTTAGAACCTTCGGATGTCTACTCTAATATCACTAGTGAAATTTAGCGTACCGCAAAAACTAAATCCCCCATCGTCGGGGGAAATGGCAACATATTTTGGAGCAAAGAAGATGCGATCATCTTCGTCCGAGTGGTAGCGTTTAACCCTTAAGAGCCTGGATACATGGCGATGCAAATTACACAATGAATTGACCACTAACGTATATTTCACGCGGAAATTTTGCAGGAGAAACAAAGTATATCGCGAAAACATTTAGTCACCACAAACGAATAGCAACGCGTAACGCGCGGATTGACTCGCCGCGCGAAGAATTGTGAATCACCATTCGCGGATATTTCACAAAACACATTAACATAGCAAGCACCGCTTACGCGAAAATGACTCATCCAGAGCTGCAGTTGTAATAATTTTAACGAGCGCTACGCGTTGACCAAAACAATTCTTCTCTTTCGATCAGTTTCCAAGTAAAACTCAGACGGTTAAGGGTTAGACGATCGTGCGAGACGTGACTATATATACTCCGATCAGCTGAATAATCAAAGCTGCGTTCGGCGCAAACGAGCCCCGCATGCTCCTAATTCTCAATGTTTCCGCCGGTCGGATACCGTTCCCGAACGTTTCCGAGCGGATCGATTCTGCGCGAGCGTTAAGATCCCAAAACACACATTCTCTCTCTCTCTCTCTCTTTCTCTCTCGCGGAACAAAATCGGAGGTGGATTCGTTCCACTATAGTTTCGGCGCAGAGCTTCCGCGCCGTTAAACCCTGAGGGAGTGTCGGTGACAATTCGCCTTGGTGTTGGTCCTATTAGAGGTTCCCGAACCTTCTTAGTTTAACTTTGAATCCGACGTATGGCCGGTTCACAGAAAGGTTGCGACATTTCTCTTTCGACGAGTTTCGCAACGCACTTCGTATCCAACGGAAATATCTCCTAAGAATGATTGAAACACAAATTCTCCCATTGAACACGGGATGCGTTCCGAAATTGACGAAAAAAAAAGTATCGCCGTCTTTTTGCGACTGGCCATACAGTAGGAAGCGAAACGGTTTGGGCTAAATTCAGAACGTAGCCAACGCGAGAGGTTCAATGAGAGAAAGGATTAGTCAAGAATAAGTTCTCTCTCTCGAGCATCGGCTGCGCTCTGAACTTGGCTGCGTCCGCTTCGCACTTCACTGTATGTTCTTAGCGTCTCCTCCCCAATACTACAGTAACGACGAAACAGATAGGGTCGTAGGTCTGGTGTATTCCTGTCTCTCACTGATCATTCGTCACTCATGCTGGCAAGGTTCGCGGAAGTCGATGTTCCCGAGTCAATCTCCGTCCCACGTTTACCCACCTTCCTCTTACATTTACGAAATTAAATCTAATCGTACGTTACGTCCTCTCAAATTATCCCTAAACGCTCGATAAAAAAATGTTCGAATATCCCTCAATTATATTTAACAGCCGGTAAATATATAATCCTATAAAAACGTCGTTTCCCTCCCTCTGGAATTAAACTTCCGGGCTCTTAATTCGTTGTCACGAATCGGGCACACGGCCAGTGTTCCAAGTGTCGCGACGCGCCGTTTGGGAACCTCCGCGTTTAGTCGAAGCGATCGTGTTAATCCGTACGCACACTTAATCCTACCGCTAATACCTCTTACGATTATTAACGACTATTACACTTCGAAACTTACCTACCTATCACTCGACGCGTGCTCGAGATATTCGCGACAGCACAACGTAATCGTAATCGTGGTGACGCGAGAGAAAAACGTCCCGAGCGTTTTGTCCTTCTGGACGCGCCAAGACTCACGTGCGCACGTGTGCGCAAACGTACTCGATCGGCTGCCGATCGCGACGCACGACCGGCGGATATTACGTGTGCGGCACGACCAGCTGGTTCTCGTGAGGTCGCGCGAACTGCAGCTGGTTCTGCGTGTGCATCTGCAGCTGCATATGATGGGCCTGGAGTTGCGTGAGCGCCGCGGGCGTAGCGAACGCCGGATAGGCCAGGGTGGTGGTCAGGCACTCGTTGTGCTCCTCCAAGGAGTTCTGAGCGTAATGCAGCACCAAGTGCTTCAGGCTCTCGTGGATGTTGTACGGCTCGGCGAAACCGTAGCCCCGCTCGGTGGCGTATATTATGCAGTGCTGCACCGTGCCGTTGCACCTGTAACAATAAGGCCTTCTCAAGTGGTATCGTTGCACACGTGTTATTATTACCAGGGCTGTGTCGTAGATTACGTCTACACGGCTAATTCACGGCTGTTGTCCGCATGTGATGTTCGCATGGATTTTTTTTTTTCATGTAGACACGATGTAAACTATGTAAGGTATTTTAAACTTTTAATAAATTATATTCGGTTAAGTCGGATAAAATTATAGTTTTAAAGTTTTGGAAGAAACTCGTCTCTTTTTTTCAAATTTTCCGCGAATTTTCCGGTTTCTTATTTTCTTGATGAAAATATGTAAATGCAGCAGACTTGTAAAGAATACACGTGAATATTTCTAAACGGATTGTTGCATCTCTGGAATAGAAACTGAAGGAATCCGCGGAAAAATAGGGAAAAACGGGGGTTTTTTTTCTTCCGAAACTTCAAAATTATATATATAATCCGTTTTACGCATATTTAAAATATGCGGTATAAAAATTATATATGCGCTGTTAATGTACAAATGTCATTATTTGATGAGTTTACCTGCGAACTTTCAACAGATACTAAATATATTAAATATAAAAAGACATGTAAGGAGAAGACTAGTCAGTCTATAACAAATTATTTTTTACTTATTGTCTGCATACATAACATGTTATATATCATTTATATTGTCTATGAGTAGACGTATTATATGTTTTTAGCATAAACGCTTAACCTTAATCGGAAAGGTTAATCTTCGTTTTAAACACATGTTATTACTACTTACTATCTACACTATAATCTCAGTGTTCGTATAATCGTTTATTTTAATTTATTCTTTTCGATTCACGTATACGGGCGCGCGCGTGCGCGCACACACACGCACGCACGCACACAGAGAGAGAGAGAGAGAGAGAGAGAGAATGCGTTACATCGGGGGGAAAAAAAGAGAGATACTTACACTATGGAAAGCGCGTATTGGCCTGTCCTTGATCGGCGGACGAGGAAAGTACCGTCCGGACGGCCCATTAGGAAGCGATCAGCGTCGGAACGAGAACCCTTGAGGAAGAGCCACGTCTTGTCGTCGGAGTGAACCTCGAGGTCGACCTCCTGGAGATCACCGTAAGGCAATTCACCGACGACGGAATTTGTGAGCGAGTGGTTCGAAACGAGCTGATTGATCTTGGTCTGCTTCATCCCGTTCTTCTTCAACCAGCTGCGAAATTCGAAATGCAAACAGGTCAGTAGGTTCTTTTAACGCGAGGGAGGAAAAATTCGGGGAATTCGAAGCGCAAAAAAGCCGAATAGAAGAATACGTACTGAGAATGACGTTCCTTCTGCCGCACGAGCTGACCGATCTCCGACTTCAGCTTGTACATTTCTCGCTCCAGAGTCCTGTAATAAGCGATCTGCTGCTTTAGGCTCTCGTCCAGTTGCTCTTTGCTATCTTCTAAGGACTTCAATCTTCGCTTCAGCAACTCCGCGTTATCCGTCAAACTGCAATAGTACGTCGGCCTTCTGAACTTTCTATTCTGACATTCTCGACAAATTTTCTAAAAATATTTAGCTTCTTCACGCTCGGAAAAAAAAAACTGCGATGAAAAGAAAACCGCAATTTCGACCAGCGGAAATTCGCGTTTATATCAAAAAGTGATGAAGTAGAGTCGAGTACGCTTACGTAGAAATCTCGTGGGGCTGGGCTTCCTTCTGAAACTTTTCTTGCAGTTTCATCTGCTCCTCGAACATCTTGATGGCCTCCGAGAAGGCTTCTAACGCCTGGCGCTTTAACGAGACTTCGTAGGCCGTTTTACCGTAAAGGTCCGAGCAGTTCTGGTATTGGCGTATAGTGTCGGTCATATCCTTCTCCAGCTCGACGAACTTCTGCACGACCTTCGTCATGTCGGTCGTGTTCGCGATCTCGTCATCCTGTTCTCCGACAGAGAAAATAAGGTTAAGAATGATGAGGGCCCCTGCATACGATATGGGAAGATTAAAGGTAGGTTCCCGAGTCGAAATTTTAGTTCCGCATTAAAATGATTTAGTTCCACGTTAAATTTTCAAATGTCTTTTATTATACTCTTTTGATAATACAAATGGGAAGTTATGTTTGTTTTCTCCATTTGATGACTTAATGTAAAACTAAGTAGACTTAGGCCAGATTTTTTATTTTTAATTAATTCTCCAATCAACTTGCTGTTTAGACTTAAGCCGATGATAATGGAAAGATTTTTTAAATCACGGTTGATCATTAAACTAATGGTTTTGTAGTGGTAACTTTTGAAATTTCATCATTAAGCATAAATAGAAAGATATAATTTTTACATTATCATCAGGTCAAGCTTATCATAAGTTAAGCAGACAATTAAAAACCGGGCCTTAATGTAGAGGCAAAATTTCGACTTGCGTTACCTGTTGAGATCGCAACACTGGGTAGAGCAGCTTGATGTCCAGTACGGCGTTATATTGCGCGAGGGAGCAGTTCCTGTAGTAGTCGACCAGCTCGATCACCGAATGAAAGTTGTATGGATCCGAGAAGCCGTATTTTCCATTTCGATGGCTGATCTTGATGAGCTTGTTGGTGCCGCCCTTACGCAGCGTCAGAGTGTATTCGCCGCCTTTGGAAGACGCGTTTCGCACTAAGAAGGTGCCGTCCGGCGAATCGACCATCATCTCGTTCACCTCGTCCCTCGTGATGTCACCCCAATACCATTCGGCTTCTTGCAGTGTGCGTGGCCTGAAACGTTTCCAGTGGTAATTGCACGTCATATTGTCGTCCAACTGTCAAGTAATTCAGTTATTTCAATAGGTCTCTCAAGATATGTGTTGAAATCGGTGTTTCGGTGAAATCGGGCGGAAGATTATATCCGAAGCTTCAGTCAGAAGCGAGCTGGGAGAGAGACGATTTGGACTGAAATTAGAAGCGTATATTAGAATCACCTGTGCGCCTGTTGATCCTTGCCAGTATCCGTGCCAGGTGCCGATCTGTCTACAGTTTCGTCTTCGAGCACCGGGAATGGATCCAAGATTGGAAATTGTGGTCTCGAGACTTTGCGCGGAGGTAATTGAGGCGGGCTGGCAAACTCCGGTAGCCTCTCGTTCCAATCGCCGTGCAGCAACAGCAATTCCATTATACGTATGTGCGCTTCCGTGTTGTGGACGACTTGACTACAAAATCGTGCGAGATGCCCGATGATTCAATATCACGAGTGGCCGTCTATCGAGCAACTAATCTTATAGTTGGTAGTAAGTGTAAAAGCGATTGTTGTTTCGCGTTATACGACAACAAACACCGTACCCGCTCGTGTAATATCGCGCCTGGTAGTCACTGTAGAGAAAACAAAAATTAGTATCAATTCAAGATTCATAACATACAAGTTGTCCCAGCATAAGGAGAAATATCTCGTTTGTTTTTAATGACACGAGACGTGTTTACGGCACAACTTGAATGGTTTCGAAGGAGGAATACTGTGGGAGGAAAATTTTGTTTAAGATTTTTTTTTAAGTTCCCATATTTACGTTTCCAAGATATTTAGATGTTTTCCTCACGTTGGGACACACTTGGGTTCTCATGCATATAAGAGTAAGTTTTATCTTCATACGAGATTATATGTTCTTGATTACACACATGAGAATGTTATGAGTCTTGAATTGATTCTAATTTTTTTTTTTCAGCTACATAAATCGTATTACACGTTGTACTCCATTCAGAGAGCTCAAATAACAAAACGCCGGCAGCTGGGAAGCCGGATTCTTTTATTTTTCGATTAGTTTACCGCGCACGATGGGGGAAAGCAAACGTTTATCAGCGTGTACATCTTAGGATACACTCTTTTTACTAGCTATCAGCGTAGTAGTGGCCCAGTCGCCGTTGAAAAAGAAAAGAGAAAAGAGCGTCGTGCGAAACACACTCTGCTCCCGAGCCTTTCCCTGCGACTCGAAGGAACCCACGTGGCACTCACATGATTCGCTCCCAGGGCGGCCTAAGAAATATGTGACAAAGCACTTGTGACAGGATCTTCGGTGGTTCCGTGTAACCCCGTCCGTGTTGCAGCTGACAGATGCGACAAAAGTGCGCCATCAAGTGGAACAATGTGCTTCGATGGTTTGCCGGAAGCTCTGCTACTAATTGACTGAGACGCGTCGCACATTGTTCGTCGTTCCTCATATCTGCGTGAAAAAAAAAAAAACAAGTTTATTTATTATAACGGAAAAATCCCTTTTATAAATAAGTAAGCTAAATGAGCAATTGTAAACAGGCACCATACACAGAAAAAAGTGCTAGATTCAAGTAAATAATTATTCCAATATTCTCTGGTAAATTTTTATTTGAATCAAGTAAATTTTCCTTGGGTCAAATATTTTACTTAACCCTTAGCTGACACACGTCAAAATAATAACGTAATGTAATTGTTTTATTTATCAATATTGCGTCAAGCCTCGACTAATACTAGGTGACGCCACAGAACCAAATTTGGCGCGCAACTATAAAAAATTTGCGTTGAAAAACACTCTGGGGTACTTTTAACCCCGTGTGTCAGCTAAGGGTTAATTTACTTGGATCAAGTATTACTTGATCCAAATAAAAATTCGCCGAGGAGTATCAGAGTAATTATTTACTTGAATCGAGTAAATAAGTTGCAAAATACAACAGTCGAAAGGACCGAGCGGTCGAATCGTGAGGACTTATGATCGCCAGATATTCGGTTATAGAAGAAAATACTCACTCGACGCTTCCAAAAACCTATCGTACCACTGCACAGGGATCACCGGATCCGGCAACTCTCGTAGAAATTTCTTCAAGACACTAGCGATGCAATGCGGGGTGTACGGACTTAGGTCCGTATTGCAGACATCTGAAAGTATTACGTCAAGATATTGCGGCCATTTTCTGAATTATCAATGCTCCTAGTCGCGGTAAAACTGCGCGTTGACGAATGATTAATCGCGCGCGATTTTGATTGCAGTATCTATGGTTGCAGGAGACGCTAATGAGCGATGCGCTGCTATGCAGATGGAATAGCCGGTAAGTGCATTCGAATATACGATGCTGATATAAATAACTTCGGTGTATTCTAGGGGAGACCGCGGCAGGTTAGTAAAGCGTTTCGTTTATGTGCTTGTTATGAAAGAAATAATGCGAGAGGAGTCGTAAAATATACGTTCCTCTCCGGAACATAAGTACTAGTCTGCGATTTTCATTGAAATGGGGGGGGGGGGGGGGAAACGTTACAACTGACAAAGAGAAAAATGTGATTTGAGAGCAGCCGAGTAAATTTTCGAGCGTCAATACTTTCGTCAAAATGACGGTGTAATGAGAAAAATGGGGGAAAAAACAGCTCCCCTACCGAGGATCGGGCTTTCAATGCCTAGCTCTGAGTCTTGTTTGACGCAAGTAAAAACGTTATATCGTCAACTATAACGCGCGCATCGAATATTATGGCTACGAAAATAAATCTTTCAGTGTAATCGTCTGCAAAGTTTCAACACAAAATTCCAAAAAGTTACCCCTACGTCACCGCAAGGAAAAGAAAGCGTTTCGCGGAAACTCGCTTAGCGCCACCTCAAAAATAAGCAATTTATACGACGCGTTTGGGCGCGAATAAATCGCGCTAAATGCGGGACAAAGAAAAGGGTCGCTCTCTCCCGCTCGTTGTTGATGAAATCTCGATCCGTCGCGCAAAATAAGCGCTCCTTTTTCTTCCTTTTCCACAATGCACGCGCGAGTGCATCTGTGCACTCGCTGCTGCGACATTTTTGCAACGCGCGCCGAACATTGTGGAATGACTGCGCCGCGCTATTTATAGCGCGCGATCCGGCCGGCGCGGGACCGACCGTTTGTCTTACCATCGTTCAGCTTCGTTCGCAGCTCGACAGTCTGTTCGGTGCACGGGCTGCTGTGGTAAACTTTGTAGAGGTCCAGTGTCGTGTCGGCGAAGGCCTGTTCCTCGAGGGCGCGGGTGCACCGTTCCACCACGATCGGTGCCGTGCGGCTGTCAATATCGAATTGCGAGCACAGCGGCCGACCGAACACTACAAAGTGCACGAAAATGGATATCACGTCGTAACAAGCGTGCGAACTGCATCAAGAAAGATTACAATAGTTTTCGCCTCCAACTATGCCCTTTTCATGCTTTTAATCAGAAAAATCGCATTAGAAATATACATAAGGCTATTATCACTGACTAAAGGCACTGCTAGTACTGAAAATCTATAGTTCATGTTGTTCACGTAGAGATTTTCAGTACTGGCAGTGAATAGGAACGCAGTCTTAAGCGGTAAGACTAACCAATCGGTTATAATATTTCTTTAGATTCCGAGAGACGATAAAAATGTGACAATAAGTTTGCCTTTGAGCAGAAGTAACCAGGTGATCAGTTGAAATTTTCGTTACTTCTATTTAAAAGCAAACTTATCGTCACTTCGATTGCCTTTTGGAATATGTAAACCTAAAGAGATATACCGATCGACTTTCTTATTGTTTAAGTCTTATTAATTCGTCTTACATTTTCTTACGTACGAAGGCCTTAACTTAGGAAAAATAATTCTCCTATGATTTTTTCACTATAATAATTATAGTTATAAATACGAAATATACAAATGAAGGTCAACTACAAGGCGAGTAAGAGTCTGATGCCGACGTATAAACGACTACATATGACATAAACGGTTGTTTCATCAATACAAGGTTACAACAAGTCAAACGTGTCGGTAAATTAAATTAAATTAGTCGAACGTTTCGCTCTCGCTTCGGGTCATCTTCAGCGAAATTAAACGAAATAAAAAAAGTCGATGCGGCATTACAGAGATCATGAATGTAGAATGTCGTGAAACATCCCAGATAAGCAAATCGACCGGTCAGTACGTCACGTGCTGTAGTCGTCAAACCAATAAAAATGTTAAATACCAAATAAATATTACGTAACATATTACAAATATAAAGAAATAATAATATAAATAAGATATTGAAACCCAAATATTTTTCTCTCAGTGTGTCTCGAAACAATTTGAACACTTTTCTCGACGCAACGCAGCCGATGAGAGAATTTATTTCCAATTAATTTCCAAAAGCTAAGTTACCTTATTGGACCATCGGCTGCGTTCTGAATTGCGCTAAAAGAAAAAAAAAAAAAAGTATTCAAACCGTCCAGAAACCCGAGTTGACGATACGCGGCATACAAAGCTTGCACTATAATTAGAATTTCAATTGTCTAGCGTTAACTCTTGTCGGGTTGAAAGTGTCAACATCAAAGCACATACGGTGCCGATTCGCGCGACGACGAGACGGTTTCTCGCTTCTTCTCCTTGTACCCAAGACGTCGACCGCGAAATTCAGCGTGGACAAAGCGATGGCGGAATTGCGTAACACCGCAGTCGTTCGAGGAATGCTCGAAGAAGAGGAATTCCTCGACTCCTGGCAGATTTTCACAATGGCGACCGAGCTGCTCTTTCTCGCTGTTTATCGTCGTCCGTCTCTCTTTCCTCGATCTTTGCGTGTTCTTCCCTTTTTTCTCTCTCTCTCTCTCNCCCTTCTTCCCCCCCCCCCCTCCTCTTTTTATACGGCTGACGAACCTTTGACTTTATTTTCGCGCGAGGATATACGCGCCGCACGATCATATTTTCAGGCTCAATCTCTTTCTCTCTTTCTCTATCTTTCGCGAATGCCGCGCACACACGCCACTTGTACAATCAAAGACGTATACGCGTGCATTATGACAAGAGAGAGGCCGAGAATGCGGTGAACGGGTCGGAGGGAACATTGCGTAGCGGGAGGGAGGAGGGGAAATTTATTTTTACGACCGCGCGCGACAGCAACGTCTTGTTTCTTCATGACCGTATCTTCTTCTTTGAAGAAGGACGAATGACGGGGCGAGGGAGGGAGAGAGGAGAGAAAAAATCAGAATTAAAACACGAGCTGCAGACCGGGAATGTAGGCACGCACGTGAATTTTATGCACGGATGTGCACGACGGAGGCCAAGCCCCGGCTATTCGTTACGAATGTACGATCGTTCGTCGTCGCCCGCGCGAAAAAATCTCGCCCGTGTCAGGCCCGAATAAATCGCGAGTGAGTGGCATCTCCAGAATTTCGACGTGATTCGCGCCTCATATTCGCATTGCTAATTGCCGTTCCGCGGCTTCCACGAGGTGTCGATTTTGCGTTTAACCCGTTCAGCATCGCGGGTATCCGCTGCCGCGTGTGATTCAGTAGCCGAGAATACCAGCGGTACGTGGAAATCGCCAAGATCTTCGTGGAATGCGTATCCTTCGATAAAGCGTTAAGTTAGCAAATTTCTATTTCTTTCCAATAAATACAGAAGAACCAATCGATGAAAGAAATGAGGAGAAAACTGATCAGAAGCGCTCAAGTAGAAAATTAACTATTATATTTTGATAATTCAAATATAAACGAGGAACCCAAACGTGGACAAGATTAAATTTAAACGTGTAGTTTGGAGTGATGAATTTCAAAACATGGAACCGGGTAATACACCAACATCACACGCGGAGTAAAAAGTTTCGTTGAATTTACCTGACAATTAGCAAAACACGTTTGCTAATTGTCCGGTAAATTCAACGAAACTTTTGGGGGGAAAACAAAAGCGAATTCTACTCAGATACCTGTTGTAAGTTTTGCGAGAGACCGAATAAGAAAGCAAAATACAACGAAGGATCGAATTGATTGCGTCAGACGGACCTAATCGGCATGATCGCTGATATCACAAAGTTGCGCGTTGCGCACGTGACTCGAATTTTTTGCCCGAAGTGGAAATGTTATTGCCTATCGTTACACCTCGTCGAGTCCGCGCCTGCTGATGACTCGCGTGTAAGTGATTAAACGCTGCCAATTACTATAAATCAGTCTCGCAGCCGATGCCGCTACGATCGCACACGCGAGCACCGCCGTGAAAATCGCACCGGTCGATCGATCGTGCGGAGCGACGTGATGCGTTTTTTTTTTACGGCGAAAAGCGCGAAATTGGATCGGCCACGAGTGCGCAGCGTTCCCGAGGTCATTAGAGCGGGAGTTGGTTAAATCCGACCTTCCTCGGCGGATGGAGCGGATAACAAAATCAAGGGGCCCCGATTAACATCCCGTACACGAAACTGTCCGATATCACCTCGCGCAATAAGAGAGAACGAGTCCTCCTATCGTCAGCATCGCGTACAACGACGACGTCGTTGACGTTATTACGCGGTGGCGTAATTTCGAGCGGTCGATGCGTCGTACACCGCCTTTCAATATGTTGTTTTGTTACGCTTTCCTTCCCGATACACGGAAAAAAATAATTTGTTGACGCAGCAAAATGTCAGTTTTTCTCCGTGGAGTCAGCAAAACCATGTTCGTTAAAAATACTAACTGCCATTCGCTGCATATACTTTGCACAATCTGCAAGTTATTTTATATTTTACTGCAAAAACAAGATGTTACAAAACACTTATTTTCATCTTTTATAGTCAGAATTACATATTCCGAAGGATAAATTCACTCGGCGAGATTTTTTTACCCTAGCAACAGAACTTTTTCCGCTCTAGTTACAAATAATTCGGCGATGGTTAATGCCAACAAAGTTTTTCTACCGCTGTCGCGACGCGAACATTCAATAGCAATGCTGCAACAATAAAGTTATTTTCCTTCATGCTGTGGTTCAAAACACGCAGCGGATGAGTCCAATGAGAGTTTCTGAATTTCTGGGAATTACTCAAAAACAAGTTCTCTCACAGGACCACTGGCTTCGTTCCGAATTGTACTGAAGAAAAAAAAAAAAATGTACAAACTATTTCGAAAAAAATCTGCACTTCAATATGATTCGAACACTTTTTCTCGACATAGTTCGGAAAGTATTCGACATTCTTCCTTGGAGCAACGGCTTGGAACGAAAAGGCCCCGAAACAAAAGTATTGAAACCGTTTAGAGACCCGGTGTACACTTGATTTCATATTTGAATATTTTGAACATTCTTCCCTCGATACGCGACGCAGCCAACATCAACGAGAGAATCCAATGAATTTCCAGAAGCTAAGTTACTTCGTCGGAGGAGAAAAGTGTTTAAACCGTATCAAGTGTACACGAGGATCGCGCGATCGACGACGGGCAGCAGTATAGCTGGAATAAATGAATGAGAGATTAGGGGCAGCGTGACACAGCCCTGAAGGCTGGCGCCGCGGTTTTGCTATGCACAAATATTCAATTCCGTCATTGGCGCGCAACGTGCAGCGTTAATTAAATGCATCGCTGGAGGCGCGTTGACGGCGCGAACGTTGAGCCTCGCCTACGTTGTCTCTACCGATTATCGTCGTCTGGGGCATTCGCGCCGTTTAACCCTCTCCCATTGCCAAATGCACGTACATACAACGCGAGTAAGTACGTCTCTAATCGAGAAAACATCCAAGTTTGTGAATTTCGGGTGTACTTAAATACCGGCCTTAACACGCAGCACCTTCTTATTTTCTACACACGGAAAAAAGAATTCCGTTGATGCAACGTTGCCGGAGGAAAATTCGTAAGATTGCTGTTTTACCGATTCATTGCTCCCGAATTTCAGCCACTCGATCGTTAGCGATCCAGAGGTTCGTTACCAGGATCGAAATTGTTTCTCGCGCGATGGGAGTAAAATCATGTCGAAACTCATTAAATGCGAACGAGAGAGCGACTCCCACACGACGGTGGGATTTCAATGAAAGAAAGTCGTCAGCCGTGAGGTGCGCTCCGCCGAGTGTGTTCCAGGTTATCGTAACGAGATGCCAGGACGGCGTCCTTGCACGATCTCGGTTACAGCGCGCTGACGCAACCGCGAAGACAACTGGATTTTTCAACGGTTTCCGCGTCCATTAGGCGACGGACTGTACGCGCCTTACGACTACGTGACTTACCCCACGTAAACCGTCGATCCGAGTCGGCCGAGATGCAATTGCCAGGTAAACCCGTCGCCGAACACGTCCTGTGAGAGACCAGTCCGCAATCTGCGCAACGCAGAAAATTCGCGTTCAGCGCGGTTTCAGCGAGGTCAAACGGCGCGAAATGTACGGTTCGTTCCGCTGCTTGACTCTCGGTTCCATAATTAATCGCGGCGCTCGATGCGCGGGAGATTAAGTTCGCGAGACAACTTCCGTAAGTGGAAAATTTCAACAGTGGTCTCACGTAATTACGCTCGGGGGAGAAGAAACTTCGCTCGCGGGAGCGTGCAGGCTAACGATGAGAGGAAAGAATCGATTATATTCGATCTCGCGTTATCCGATTGTAGTGTACCTTGGCAGAGAAAGCCTTGATGAAAGAGGCCCCTGATGTATTTATGGCATTTACCGCACTTCTCCAGCACGCTGAAACTGTGCGGCACGAGATTGTGCGCGTTGCTGCCCGGGTAACTGAGGGAGCAGTCGGACGTCGTCGTAGTGTCCGTGTCCTCCGTCGGCTGGCAGAGCTCCTCGATGCAGACCAAAATGCTCCTCTGATGGAACTCGTCCTTTATGCCCATGTTCTGCAACAGAAATCGCACCACTCGTCTGTTCACTTTAATAGCTCGTCAACGCAGCGATATCTTCATTTGTAAATCAATCATTGAATGTCAGTGTAAAATGAATTTCAGAAAGTATTTACTAGAATTATATAATACTGAAGAAACCCAGGTTTTAAATGTCTACCTTTTACTGTCTAATAAATATCTTCTAAAAATAAATCCTGTGATATTCTCAATATTATGAATCAATATTTGTCGCAATTGTTTCAACATATGTAAGTAAGTGTCTATTTATACGAAGAAAATATCATGCTGCGTAGTTAATTATATTTCTACAGTAAATATTTGCCAAGGAATATTGGAATAACCATTTTTCTTGAACCGGGTAAATATCACTTGAACGGTAGCACTTTTTTTTTCTTTTTTTAAAGCGATATTATTGAAACTAAAACGAATCATATATTTTTTAAATAAATCAGGCATTAGTTTTAATGATACTGCTATTAAATCGAGAAGACTTGCAGCAATTACATGTACCGTTGGAAATTCGATCGATTCAACAGCATTTTTCACTTCCGTCTATAAATATTACACAACGATTATTCGATGCACGAGATAAATATTTCGACTCGAAAAATGGTGACGCCGCGCGTCCACAACCTCTGACCGACTTTGCGCCACGTGGTCGCCGCGGAAGAAGACGACGGAGGAGCTCTTCGATTCTACGGAATCGTCCAGCGGAGGTGGAGATCTCTTCTCCGCCGAAACCGCGTATCTCAGTGGCGGTTATAAATCCGCAAGGATACAGTGCGGCCAAGAGCGCGGCGAACGGTGCATGCGAGACTATAAAGAGCGGCGCGTGTCAAAGTCGAGCGGGGAGACAGTTACACGGTGACTAACGAGGGAAAATAATATGCGTATCATAAATAACCCGGGTGCTAACGACGGTTCAGCGCTTCGGAGATAGCACTGATCGAGGTCCGCTGGCCCGTCGCTCTCTCTTTTCTCGCCGGAATCGCTTCTACGTAAGGATCACGTCCCTGACCTCCGCTCAATCTCGGTCGAAATTTTAGTCCTACGTTAAGTCTACTTAATTCTATATTTATGCGCTTCAAAAGCACTATTGGTGCTCCTTTGACGCTGCAAAAGGAACTTGTATCTCCCGCGAGGAAACTTTAAATTCTACATCAAGAGGATATTCTCATTTTAAACGCCATTTTGTAAATGCAAGTTTTTGAAAATTTCTTTTTTGAAAAAAATTCTTTTTTTCTTTAAGTCATTCGAAACATTCCACATTATTCTTCAAGTGGAGAAAACGGAATAACTTCCTGTTTATATCATCAAAGAAGTACAATGGAAGACTTGACGTAGGTGGACTTAAGGTACAACTAAAATTTCATTTTGGAAAGTGCCGTTTCGCGAGACCTCGCGAAAGATCCTGAAAAATCAAGTCAACCGTGAAGCCCCTCATCGGAGGCATTATTATTTACGCCACGACACGAATTCGCTTCCTCATTCGGCGAAACGTCTAGGCGCGGCCTCGCGTTATATAAATTGCTACACCCTTTTCGAGGACGTAGCCGCGGAAAATACTGTCCAAGTGTGGCGATATCGCAAAAAGAGGGGAGATAATTCGCGGGTACCGCGGCGTAAATCAGTCGAGAGAGACGTTGAGGAGTCGGGAGCACCGCGCTCGTAAAAGGGTGAACACACGCCGAACGGGCGATCGTAATTTATACGCGTCGTTACGACCCTCTCTCTCTCTCTTCCCCGGCAGGCATCTCGTTTTCCCGAGGCAACAGGTGTCGGGTATGCGCCGCTGCACAATACCTGCACTGCACTCGTGAGGTACAATGCACCCCACGAGTTAGCGATGCGGCTCGCATTCGCGTAATGGAGACCTTCGGGAAGTCCGAGAGGCGCCTTGGCGATCGCCGGTGGAAGTCACTTGGCGCATCTCGCGCGTTAACGACATGCGAACTGACGACGTCTTCGATCGTCGGCCGCGGAAGCAACGCCACCGAACTTGAGGGAGTTCCAACGAATTCGACAATATTCGCCAATTGTTAAGTAAACTTGTGAAATCAGCCGCCTGAATTGCTTCCACCTTTGCGGCATTCCGGCGTGTGGTACGAGCATGCATTCGACGACGGGACGGTCTGCGTTCAGCTAATTGCTTTTGTTCTTTCGCGTGTTTCTACGAGCGTCTATATATTAAATTAGTATATACATACATATATATAATTTGCATTTGTACTCTTAATTATATACATACATATGTATAATTTGTATTTGCACTCTTAATTTCTATCGAAGGCCAGATAATAATACTAGCTGCAAAGCTGGTTGTCTATTCTTTTAGTCATTCAACTGCATTTTCCGTGTAATTTTTTTCTAACGCAAGTTACAGATAAGTCGACTAATAAGTATTATCATTATTAAACGACGATAATTGGCGCGGTAATTGGCAGGTGCAACGCAATTTTATTTCAAACAACAAGCGCATATACACGTTTCTCGCAGAAAACGCATTACAACTGCATCTTGATTGCGATTCAGACACATCGCAACAATAAATCGATAAAAATGTCGTATTCACTCGTGGTGCCTATTAAAATCATCGAGTGTTAATAAGTCTCCCTAGGCTAATCGACAATAAAAATGCGCGTAATCTTCGCACAGTGCAGAGCGATGTGCGTCAGTGAGTCGTAATTTTGCAACTTGGGTGCGCTCGGTGCGATAATCGTCGCGCGTTAATCGTATTATCTTAATCGACCCACATCGGCCGATGCAATGTCGCGCATGCAGCTCCTCCGAGTTCTTCGTTAATTTCGACCCAGTATTCGCGTTGCAACATTTACGAACGAGCGATATGAGCTGTTCCGCGGACGTCATCGTATGATCGGCAAGATTGCGATTTATTTCTATTCTAATTTAACAACTCAGTCGCCTTGGCCTCGCTCAAAGACAGCTCGACTCCCCTTCAGAGATAGAAGAGATAGAAGAAAAGGAAAAATAAACAATTTCGAAGCTGACGTGAAGAAAGAAAATGTACCATTATTTCGTTTCTCGCACCAATTCTATCCATCATGAGACAAAGAGATCCGATCAAGAGAGAGAGAGTACTTCCGGCAGCTGGTTTCTTTTCCGAATTATGGTATTTGGCGCGATGGAGCGCTATTTCGGCCGGCGCCACAACGCGCAGTGGGCCAAACGCTATTATTAGCGGCGACAGGGCAAAAGTAAAGTGATCGATATATTACGCGGCCGTGCGCGAGCGCCGCGATAAAATTCGACGCGGTCGTTATTTTATTCCGTGCCAAGAAACGCACGAGAAAGAGAGAGAGAGTGAGAAGTCGTGCGAAGACAGCGGAGAAAAACACGCTCCGAGAATTTCGCGGCAATTAGGCGCCTTTCGCACGTCCACCGTTTGCTCCATCTTGATCGGATTTCAACGATCAATTATTCGCTCTCGTAGGCCGAGATATATCTGCGATAGGACCTGCGAGCGCAATATTTATAAATTTATCGCTCAATTCGCCGGTCGAGAAACGAGTTCTCGATAAAACGCTCATCTCTGGAGCGAGCTACGACGGAAGGGTCAAGGAAATACGCTCTTTTATTATCTCGTCGGGCGATCATAGCGGGAGAATTTGATCCGAAGGACAGGCCAAGTGGGAGAATCAAACGATTTCTCGCGGACACACACCGTAGCGGCTCGATTAGCATGGTAATGGACAAGGAGCCTTGGCAATGCGCGCATTTTCGCCCGGAGGAGCCGGGCCGAATTCGCCGAGCGGATCGATCGTCTCGCGGAAAAATCGAAAGAACGGCGGCGTTCATTTCACGCGACGACGTTCGTGCGCAATTATTAATTAGCTCGGACGGGGGCTCCTCCCCCCTGCTCTAATTAACGCTCCCGTTCGTTCGGATTTTCAGCCCGCGACTTCGCCTTGCGATTTTTGCTATTCAAACCGCTTTTATTACCCGCCCGCGTAATTACATGGAAAACGCGGGCAATTATGGTCCGAAGAAACGCCCGTTTTCCCACGACGGCGGCGCGAGAACTCGGGCCAATACGGCCGGTCGAGTAATTCGATTGTCCGTTTCGACCCGTTACTCCGCGCGCGTAATTATGATAATGCGGCGCGTGGTAACGCGCGCGGGGAAAACGCACGTACGGATGCGATCGTTGCAGCGGCGTAGCCTACCGTGCGCTAGCTGACGCGTGATTCCACCTTCGATTTCCCGATACAGCGGGGAAAATTGTCGAAAGCGTGAGAGACCGGCCCGCTCGAAATTCTCCCTCAAATTCTACAGCACAACTGTGAGACTCTTTTCTGTGTGCCATTCGCAAGAGAATGAACGTTTCACTCAAGCTTACTCGAATCGAAATTTTCGCCCTATGTTAATTCTTATAACTACAATCGTACACAAAAAAGAAAACAAGTATTAGCTGCCACAGCTAAGAACTAGATAATTAAATTTCAGATATACGGATAGGTAGTTTTTAACTGTGGGAGTTAATTTTATTTTCCGTGTATATGGGTCTAACTTTAATGATATAATTTACTGCCATTTTGGTCACGATGATATCTCAAATGTCCGTTTTTGCTGTTTTCGGCATCAAAACAGGTTATTTTGAATACCCATAAATTTAATTTAATGATCGAAATATCGAGAGCATTTGTAGCTTCAAGATAGCATCAAAATGAAATCCGTAGAATGATGGTTCGAGAGAGAAGTTAACGAGTCATCAAAGTAGGTCTTAGTTTTAGTCTATGGGCCATTTAAGCAGGCGCAAGCTATCCGTAAGAGCATCAAAGTAGCATCGAGATTTCAACTCGGGAGATACAGGGGAATTATTCGACGAGCCTCGGGCGGGCGTGCTATCCCGACTAACCTATCTACGCCACTGAATCATTACGAATGAATCCTCTAGTCACGGAGTATAAAAGACTCTCGCGATGTAAGGAAAAGCACTTCTAGATTGAGTTTCGTAGCGCTTGAATTTCATATAATGCGCGACGACTACGGCGGCAGCGTTTATTTAACACTGCCATCGTTATGAACCGAGAGTTTAGTCAGCGGACATAAAAACGATTACGCCCGACGATAATATCGCTTTTACCGCTTCGTATATATTTTGTGAAATTTTATGTTTCACGGCGATATATGCCTAGATTTTTCACGCCGACGGCGTTTATCTAATATTGTTTCACTGTTATCGACCGCATAAGATGTATGCTTCGTATCTTATCCTCTGCTAAGTTTAGAGAAAAAAAAAATATATAAATATTTTTTTCCCTTCAATTCTGCACGCGCAATTAATGTCTTGTGATTATTGAGCGAAACTCTTGACTCGAAGAATTTCCATTACTGCTGGAAAATTTTCCGATACAAAATAATATCACGCGTGATAATAAATGTATCGTCACACCGATGACGAAACACCATAAAGTCGAAAGATCATAAATAACGAATTTTCACGATACGTTCCGTGGAGCGATAAATTATAAATTTTACATTTCGTGCGCTACGCAATAATTTCACCACAGTGTCTCGGCGCTGATAGCGATACAGAAAGCGTCGTGATTGCACCGGATTAAAATAGACGCGAGATAATAGCCACGCACAGATGTTCAAAAATTGTTAATCGAACAGCTTCGGCCGCCTTGGATGAATTATTAGCGGCTATTAGCAGTGCGTTAATAAAAAGCGCGATAATTGCATCCCGGGAATCGATGCGTCTGTTGAGAATAATTTTATTAACTGCAGTTCCTGCAGCGTCGCATTAGATTTCAAATGAGCATGTAACATTGCGAACATAAAGTCAAACGTCAAGTTTTTCGCACGGCGAGCAGAAGAAAATAGTCGGCTATACCGCTGAGCCGAAAGTGCTCGAAAGCTCGCGTCATTCGTAATTGGCGATAAAGAAAAATCAGGGGGAAGATGAGAGGAGAGAAGAGGGAAGAGGAGGATTCGATAAAGACTCGACTGTGGCGCACTAGCGGACGCTACAGGGCAATTACAAGGTCAACGGGCCAAGGAAAACGTCGTCCAGATACTCTCGACTCGAGGTCATCGCCTCTCCGGAGTACTAGCCAAAGAATTTTCGATGCCGACTACTACGACATCGAGGCGACTCGAGAGGGAGCGGGGCGAATTCTTATAAAATTTATAACGTCGGCTCACCGAACGATATCGCTCACTCCCGTATGCTTGAAATGTTTCACGATCCTCCTTGGAGGATTTTCCCTTTAAAACGACCATCATTATCAATATGGTAATATCTAATTAAAGCGACTCACCATGAGCTTCTCCCGATCCAGATGAGGCAAATCGCTGCCTTTGATGTCCTTCGACTTGAAGACGTCCGCATAGCGATACAGGTTTAGGGCTGACATCCATTCCACGACATTTAATGACGTCCATTCACTGACGGGCTGCAAAAAAGAAGCGAGACGTAGGTGGGCACCGATGGCATAAGAATCAGCGATCGAGCCAAGTCCACTTGCGTACCAAGTATCTAGGAAGATCGCCGCCCGCATATTGTACGTACGTAACGTGCAAATGTCACACGAGCGCATATCTAAAGCTGATTTTGCGCTATTGGCGATCGTCCCGACCGCACTGTATAAATTATAAAAAGACATACTGAAACAGGCCTGGAAAGATAATCGACGACGAGTGACGTAAACTCGTCGTCTCAACGCGCGAGACTAATCGAGTCCTCGTTCGGAAAAGTGAATAATGGCTCTTAAAGTGTCTCCCGTTCATCAGTCGATACACGTGTGTGTCGTTATCATCGAGATTTTCGAAGGAGATGCACAACGAGAGAAAAAATAAACAATATTTACTCGGTGGGGGTACTAATTACACACACGCGCGCGCGTGCGCACGCACTTATAATAATATATATATTTCTACATTTATTTATATTTCTACATTGAAAAAAAAAAATAATTTAAGCGAGAGAAAATATAAATTTTCTTAAATATGTGGCTTTTCATAAAAATAACTTTCTTTATCCTATATATATGAAAATGACTCATTTTTATTCCATATATATATATTTAACTAAAAAAATTTAAATTTAAACAAATATGTTACTAGTACTTATTGAATAAACATTTTGTATTTTTTTTAGATATTTTATCTTTCAATGCACAATTACCGTTTTGATTCTTTTCTAAATTGCAACTCTAGAATCACTTTGTAGGATGACTTACGTATCAGATTAGAGGAATCATAGTTCGTTAATCGGCTGAATTAGAATAAAAATACGAAAGTGGAATAATTTCGATTTCTTCGGACGTATACATAGATGAAATCTCGAGATATCTAACGTCTCGGTATGTATGATAAGTGGCGTTTTATCGGATTAATTACGACACTGCTTTTCAAGCTGTCGCATTTTCTTTAATTAACAGCTGAAATATTGTTATAGATAATGTAGTTTCTCAAATAACGCTTTACGATATAATACGGAATTTAAGGAAAAAAACCGCCGTTATCTTGCCACGGTATGTGTGCAAAGAAGGGGGATAAATCTTGTAATTTCCTCCGGAATAAACGTATCAGTTTTTTTTTGGAACATACTTTTGGAACATACTTTTATTCAATATTATTTCCCGACTACGATACAAGCTATCTCTATTGACGCTCAGCAGAAGTAACGTTCGTTTATACGGTTCTTTAGTACAGACTTAATGAAAAACGATAATAATAGCAACAAACATCTCCTTTCCGGATATTCTTTTCGCGAACAAGTGCCACTGTCTGGTCAAACCGATCGTCAAGGATTACGTAAAAGCCACGTGCGCGAAACGTCTTCTGATTTTCTCGATCTCAAAGATAAGGCGTTGAACGGGCCGTAGTTTAAGGTACCACGCGACCGGCCGATTAGATAAATCGCTTCGCGATCGCGCGACGAGACGGAAGGAGGAGAGGAGAGGCGAAGCCTCCATGTGCCGGTCTCTATCGGGAGGCCGATAAAGCGAAAGCGTAAAAAGCGAGGGAAAAAGAAAACGTAACCTCCCGTCGTAACCCCGAGTCCGCGATCGTGATGACAGCCGCGAGATAAGCCCCGTCGTCCGAATAATCCGTGCCAGCCGCGCGCGTTCGATTAATCTCCGTCCGGATCGCCTCCATCTCACGCTATCCCACGGATCGAATCGCCAATTTTTACGGCTCCAGCCGCGTCAGTTTAGCGCGTTCGCTATGTGGGAATTTACTTTGCGGAAGTTATCATCCGCGACGGAAATCCTGTCGTGATAAAGTACCGGGGCGGAGACAGAAAGATTCTCTTTCGAGAGGAAGAAAAGCGAGTTTCTTATTAACGAATTCGCGAATTTAAACCTCGAATAACAAGGTTGGATCGACCATTTTCTAATCTTCTTGTGAAGCGTTATTTGAACTTAGCAAAGTGAACGAACCGTTTTGATCGGAGGAAGCAGGATTTCCGTGACCCAAATTCAGTTCTTATAACCAGAAATATTTGGTAAATTCAACCGAACTTTTCTTCCGTGCATATTTTGAATATTTTTTAACTTGTTGTGAGAATAAAGAGCGCCCAGTCCACAAGATTAGTTGAGAAAACTACAAAATGGTTGCCGGTTGAAACCTTGTTATTCGAGGGTTAAATCACGGAAGGATCTGTTCTATTTCGACGAGTCTAACGATACGCGCGAAAATCACTTTTGACTCGTTCAACTTCGCGTTGGGAAGTTGCGCACCACGATGATCGGAGCAATAGTCTAACGATTATACGAAAGATTAAAAGCCTCGCGCCTGTCCTAAAGATCGAATATCGTTCCTCTCCTTAGCATCATCTCCAGAAACGAGTCGTGCACTGCGCCGATTAGAGATAAATGCATCGAACTTACTCCACTTGATCCGTTCAGTCATCTGTGACCCGTATAACGTACCGATCCATCGCCGTGAAAGGCCATTTCAGTTTTTTTTTCTTTTTTACGTCAATTAAGAGATTTAAGGAGCGATTAATTGCTGCCCATGTTCGCATGATTGATCTCATTGTAGCTTTCATCCGCGACTTCCAATCGAACGATAGCGCAAGGAGATGGGAATGATTATTTACGTAACGCAATTTAAACAAGTATTCTCGTGTATACAAAAAAGACAGGCGCGTTCACTTATTTCAGCTTACGAAAAAATGAGGGCAATATTCGGATCCCTNCCCCCCCCCCCCCTCCCCTTGGTTTGATGCCGTCAAATTTAGGTCGTTACGCCATCGAGCAGGTCTCGCCCTGATAACGAAACGTCGTTCGCGCGCTTTATGTAAAAGTCGCGGCTAGATACGCGCCTTGGGATGGATTTTCGTAGCCGACAGGTAGCGGCGATAGTGGAAATTTCCTTATGCCTGGACAGGCATCGAAACAGTTAGGTTTTCTCTTATATGGAGGCGTATGACAAAGTCACTAAAATAGATCAGTTTCTCTCTCGAGCCGCCGCTCGGATCTAGTCGAAAACTTTCGAGAGATTCCATTAAACCAGTGTCAGGAATATCGCGGTAATCCGTGATTTATTCTCATGATTTATACTCTTTCGGCACACACATCTTTTCGCCGAGCAATAATAAGAGATATTTTTATGTATTTAAAAAAAGCAAAAGGTCAGAGGATGAAGGATTTATCCAGACGAAGAAAATTCTCGGGAGAATTTTTTTCTACCGTTACGAAGAAGAAATACTTTTCCTTATGTACAACGGTACGTAAGAAAAGCGCTGGAATTATTCCTTAGCGAATTTTTATTTGAAAGCTAATATTTAATTATTCCTTAGCAAATTTTTATTTGAATTAAATACATTCCACTCAAGTAAATATTACTATACCAAGTAAATATTGTGGCTAAGGAGTACTGTAGTAATTATTTACTTGTATTTAGCATTTTTTTTTCGTACACGGCGAGATTTTTCGAATTTCTAATGCTTCGCTCAGAATGCGTCAAACATAATCGCTTAGATAAATTCTTATCACAAGATACGTTACTTTCGAGCTTTGATCTTGATCGCACATTTTCACCCGCTGTGCGACGTTTCGATATAAAAGAGAAGCCGGCTGTTCCATTCAGATTTTTCGCATCACGAGTTTGCCTCGAGCATCGCGCAAGATTTCTGCACGCTTTTGTTTCACCGAACTGTGATAGTGCATGCGCGAGAGATAATTCGGTCTGTCTAAAAATGTCACGAAACGTCTGTGTGTGCGAAAGAGCTACGAGCCGTGAGACGAGCCGGCCGACGTATTGCAGAGTATTATGCTATGCAAAATAAAGCCGGTCGATGTTGCAAAGTAGATATGTTGTGCAAGATAGTCGTGGAATCAATGATGTGTCACCGAAGAATATTCAATACAATAATTGAGCGAAACGAGCGATTTAAAGTAATTGGTCCGTAGAATGTCGGATTTTCAATGGTGATATTAAAGAATCCTTACATAAGTTTATTATTTACTGATAAAAAATGTTTGTCTATAATTTTATTTAACTAAATAATAAATGTTAATTTTATGCGCAAAATTAAAACAAATATAATATTACAAACACGGAAATATTATTTATTTCTTATTTTTCTTATTAATGTTTTATTTATACGTTAATTGAGCTGAGGTAATAAAGGCACGTAATAGAAAGTGATATATTGAAATATATAATATTAAAATACTTCCTACATGTATATATTGCGGATATTACTATAAGTTGTAAATTTCTCATGGTTATATTTTTAAAACGGAAAGTGATCGATAATTCTTAAATTGTTATATAACGTTTCTACATTAGTACCTTAATAGTAGTTTTTCATAAAAATCCTAAATATGATTAGAGAAAATGCAGCTAAAATTTATGAAAATTTCGAAGAAAATCTCGAATCGATAACGAGGATCGAGTCGCGAATCGATAACACAACCGAGGCGTAGAAAATTTGGACATGAAACCCGTTCTTAGCGTTCTAGCTGAAATAGTGTTATTCTGGAACTCCGTTCCTTTCCCCTTCAACGGTAGGTTATATACTTTCAGAAACAATGAATGGAATAAGGAACAAGAAATTAAATTAAAGGGAATAAGTCATAGTTTGAAGTACAATGAAAGGGACAGAGAGCGTTTTAAAACGAAATGATCACCTTTACTATTTTCTAACGAATCCCTACAGTCATCATTAACACTCTTATCATTTTTTTCATAATTATTGATCGATTTAAACTGACTTTCATTTGTATATTTTGAAGATTAACTTTCAGCTCAACTACCAAACTATCCTATAAGCGTATAAATGATAAGGAATAGAACGGACGTTCCTGCTTTTCTTTATCGCGAATTGAAGCGTTCACACGTCGAAATTTAACTTCTTGCCCCTCACCTTCTATATTGAATTTTTTCATCGCGTCTGATATACACTTGTTTTAGCCCGAAAAAAGTTCTCGTGTGCAACTTAATTCAGCTAAGAAGAACAGGGGCGCGAGTGCAAGGCGGTAAGACACAAGCAAATTGACCGATCAATTATTCTCCTTACGATCGGAGAATGATCGATTCGTGCGTCCGAACGAGTAAAAATGTAAGCGGAACGTCTCGAAGCAGAGCGAGGTCTGACATACCTTGTCTTCATCGTGAACCTGGCCCGGCAACGCGTGACCCTTAGTACTCCATTGGCACAGGTGCTGGCCGCCGTAGTCCGAGCACACGACGTGGAAGCACGCATGGCACTCTGCGGGACATAGAGAACCACACATGCAGCAGCATAGATTATCGCACACCGTTCGCCGCCCTTCGAGGGCGGCCCTGCTCTTCGCGACGTCTTCCGTCACGGTTAACGCACCGCACCAACACATGTACCGATGAAAAGACACCGGTCTCGCGCACGTGATAAGCTCGCTCTCGACGCCGTCCGACGACGCGTCGCCGCGCGTCGTCCGCTCCTCGAGCTGCCTGCTCGGCTGGTTATTATTACCAGCGGCGTACCACCTGGACGACCTGGAGGCCGCCCGCGCGACGTCGTACAACTGGCCGACGTCGCCGTACGCGAGGATCTGCAGCTGCACGCTCGGCGAGCCGTTCGCGGTGGCCGACGACGAGGACGCACCGGCACCCTTGCGCAGCATGTAGTTGTCGGAATCGACGGCCAATAGTCGCGACATGCCCGTGGATTTCGCGTCGCCGGGGCTGCCCTTAGGCGAGCCCTTCGGCTCGAGCCAAGAGGATACGCCTTGCTCGTCGGGGAACGCCGTGCCGGCGTTCGTCGCCATCGGAGGAGCGAAGAGCTCCTGGAGCCTGGTCTGATGGTGCGTCGCGGCCGCGACGGATGCGCTCGTGGCACGCTTCATCGTCGCCGACCATGAAACTAGGTCTTCGCGTTGCCGCTCCCAGGCGAGTCATGCTCCTCCCGCGAACCGTCCAAGTCGCCCGACATCCTTCCCGAGTCCTGGCTGATCGTCGGGTTCGTTGATCCGAGGAGACTCAAGGCCGCGGCATATTTATCCAGCGGGATGCGATTCTTCGCTCGTTATCGTATCGTCGTTATTTTTAATAGAGAGATCGGATAGAGAAGAAACACGCACACAGAGAGAGAGAGAGAGAGAGGAGGAGAGAGCCGCTCCCGTGGGTGTGACCTCGTGTAAATTCGTTTTCCATAAATCTCACTCCTACCACTCGCTCGTAGTCGCGCGCTCTCACACACGACCTTTGTATAAACGCCGAGATTCGCCGAGCCGAACGAAACCGGTTTTGTCAAGCAACGACACCGAACGATTTTCAGCGTAGCCCCGCGCAAAGATCCTCGTGGCTTATCAAGCGCGATCGGGAGTAATCCCGGCTGGGAAGAGCGCCAGGAGGCTTCCTCTCCGGGAGGATCGACACGTGCGCGGTGAAGGATCGAATTGGGAGTCACTAATAGCGTTGAAACAACCGTCGAGTCAGCGGCTCGAGCTGCTTATCGCACGCGCTCATCAGCAAGTAGGGTCCTCGTCGTGTCTGTTAAAATGCGCTCGCCTCTAATCTCCGCCAATGCCGGCGATACAACTCGATCGGCCCATCAAGGACGCTTCCTTTCTTTCTTTTTCCCATCCGATCACCGTAGGACTGGATTATTGACCGTCTTCTCCGTTCTCGCGCGATCACGGAGGGATTCTCGATCGGACGACTGTGGTATCCTCCTCGCGCCGATCGGTTTCTTCTCGGAACGAATCGTCCTTATCACGTCCACCAGAAGGCCGCGACTGCCGCTCGCGGACGCCCCGTCGGATCACCGCCGTCCCGACGCTTTACCGACCGCGAGTCAGCCGGCAAGGTAGACCTCCCTGTGAGTTGGCCGCTTCCACCCGGTAAGGTGTCGGTCTACGCATCCCTTCCGGCTGGAGCCCGTCCTCGTTCGGTGCGAAAATATACGGGCAAACACGTACGCACGTACGCACGTACCCACGTACGTACGCACGCACGCACGCAGCCTCTCCGGTATGGAAAAGTCCACTGCACTTTTTGCGGCCCGCACCACACTCCTCGCACGTACGTACACCTATCTTTCTTTTCCTTCCCCCCTCTCGTCCTCTCTAACGCGCACAGCCGGTCTCTACATGTCGCCAACCTGCCTTCCTCCTACTCCGAGCGACTATCTTCCGCGAGCGTACGTTTTGGGCTTTCACCCGAAGCGATCCACCGGCGACGAGATCGGACAGTCTCTTCTCGGTTCTACTTGCAGATACGCAGCTGCCCGTCTCTCCTCCTGGAGGATCGGCCCGCTTCTCCAATTGGACGGACGAGGTTCGTCTTCTTCCTGGCCGCGGAGCAGAATATCACACCGCCGGCGAGGCGCACAGCTGACCGGCCGGTCTTCCAAGCTCGGTCAATAGCCATAGCAGTCGCGAGCTGCCGAGGGTAGCTCATGCTCGGCGCAACCGCCTCGGCAATCTCCGACGCTCCTCGGTTCTTCCCGTGGCCTTTACGCCGAGCAGACTCGTGCTAGGACGACGTCGGGGCCCCGAGCCGTTTCGGCCCGATCGAACTACCGGGATGGAAATTTCCTGCCGAACGCGAGAATCCTGCCCATCGCGTAACAAAGAACGGATTAGGAGGAGAGCGCGTGCCGATGAAAATTATACACGTCTCTGGATGAGAGAGAGGACTCTACTCGATGGAGCTTCGCACTGAGAGAGCTCCTCCTGATTCATTGATGGAGACGCGTCTTTCTCGCAAACGCCACTTCGTTATGCCCGATCAAATCGAGAAAGAGAATGATCGGAGTGAAAATAGCGGTAACATGTGCTTTCGGCCAAAGCCCGAACTCGCTCTTTGTTCCTGTGATCAAAACGCTGTCCTAGAAAAATTCGAGCAGTCGCGAATTTTGTCTTTCGCGGCATTTTGTGGACGATAATCAAATTTGCATGCTAATGCCTTCGAGCTTTCTTATCAGAAAAAAGTCACGCAATTTCGAAGGTCCTCGGGTGGAATTTCACTGCGAGGGGCTTCGTCTCCACGGATCTTCTCAAGACCGATCGAGTTCCCACGTCAATTTTCCGAAATTGAATCCACTTCATCCTTTGGTTCCTCACGCGATAACAGATCAGTCGTTCTCTTCCGATGATTCCGTGCGCGACATTTTCGGCAATTCGTTTCCCAAGCCTCTTCCTCGCAGTTTTTCCGCGGATTATTTGTTTAACGAAACAGCGGCGGGCGAAGAGACCGCTTCGCAACGGATATTGATCGGGCAACGAGAGCGAGCGTTGACATGAATTTTATAGTTAACGTGGCACGCATGGCTGACGGAGGTTGATAATGTTCGATCAAACCTACGCGTCATTGAGCAAATAAATCCCGGAAACAAAGGCGGACAAATTTGTGCGACAAAAGATATTTCCACCGCGCGAAAAAAAGTTTCCCCAAGTTTATTTTATATTAAAAGCACACCCGCACTTAAATGTTACTGTCAGTGAGAGCGTTTTTACAAATTTTACATCACTGACGCTTTTAGGAAAGGAAACATCGTCCGTCCGCCTTTATTTAACACTTCTTCGATCGGTTGCCTAACTTGTAATACGATTCCGGCGATTAACGATAAACGATCGTCGAATCGCAATCGGTCTGTCAACTGGGGATCACTCTTATCTAAGACCAGCTGTGATAAAGGATCGGACACCTAGCATCTGTCGTAGTATCTTCAATTTAGTTCGCCAAAGATTGTCATTAAACAGATGATACATCGCACAACGAACAGTATGTCAACTCACTCTGTTACATATGTCGTTCGAAGTGTTCGATCCTTTTATACGAAATTCATTCGTGTCAGACAATATTTCCCAAACTTATGCTCCGTGATCAATCGAAATGCGGGATAATTATGAAAATGGTTAAAAAACAATTATCTCCTCCCTTCTCTCAATTAAATCATTCCCAAACGCTCGGAAAGTTTCCGCGCAGCTGGGTGGAAGAAATTCGTTCGATTAACGAGACGATCCGAAGGGAAGAAGCCCTTTGTGATCGGCATACTCGATCGAGCGTTAACATCAATACCTTTAGTGGACGATCCTTTTTTTTATTTTTTAAGAGAGCAAATCGCGCCCTTCCAAGGGGCCCTTTACGAGCGAACCTGACTCTCGCTCTTATCGTAAAAGCGCGTTGCGTGGGCTGACGCGAGCGAGCGGGTGAGCGAAGGGACAGGGAAAGGGACGTGAAAGTGAAAAGCGACTTTCCGAGCCAGCGGTGTGGCGAAGGGTCCCTGGCGACGAAGGATGATCGAACCCTGCGGGCGCGCGTGCGCATCGTGAGAGGCACGTCCTGTTCAAGGTCACAGGGCCGCCCACGCAATACAGTCGTCCCTTTGCGAAGACCCGGTGCCCTTTATCGAAATTCGGCGGATCGATCGTCGTGATTACGCGTGAGCTTCTTCCCTCCACGCGCGTCGCCCGAATGAATACATATTTTTCGGCCATTCAATTTCAGGGAAAAATCATGGTTGGAGTAGTGCACGTTGCAATCGATATGAGTGCGTTGGGTCGAAATAAGATTGAAAAAGAAATGATACTTTTCAATTATACTTCGATATTAAGTCTTCAAGGATAGAAAGAAAGTTCCTACACATTTCTCCATTGTTCTTGCCTGTAAATAAATAAGTGAATTAATTTAGAACATTGTCCGTGAGATTGTTTGTGCGAACTCGATTAGATCTCAAGGTTTCGATCAACAGTATCGCTAGATACTTGTAGCACTCCGAGATCGTGTTCCATCGTTTCGAACGACATACAGGCCGAATCGGCAGCTGAAACAACACGAGACAAAAACCGAGGGTCCCCGGATGCCGGCGAGTGTTTACGCGCGAATTTCAACGACTCGCGAACGATCGCGGATTCCAGCGATCCGCGTACATTCATTTTCAGCCGTCGATAAAGCGAAAAGAAGAGAGACGTTATTTCACTTTTACGTTGCTTGTTGTTGAACTTAAAAATACCCAAAGGTCCGTAAGGGTTAGATACTTCCGAGTGGGAGACAAACACCGAGGGAGAAGGTTTGTTTTCGACGACGAGGCTGCGCCGCGAATTGCGCGTGCGATACGCCGCGCGAACAGAACGGAGCAAAAAGCGAAGCGTTCGTATTATACGAGCGCGTCAGCGTTACGTTGTCGCAATTTAGCGACCGACGGAAGTCGCGCAGACGGAAGCCGTGTCGTCTTGTTTGAGCACAGTTTCGTATCCTTTAATCCTACTTTTATAAAAACTCCAAGCGACAAACGCGACGCTCGCCGATGGAACACGCTGGCTCGGCGTTAATTTATCTGTACCGAGAAATGTTGCGTTAGAAAAATCACGGCTCAGCTGCAGTTATTGTAACCCGAATTTCGTTGCGTTAATCGCTCCATCAAGACGAAAAAAAAAACAACAGGCGCTACGCAAGTGTGACAAAGTACTTCGAAAAAGCATACTCGAATTTTTGTCCTACATTAAGTCTTCGAGCGGAGAAATAACTTCCCATGCGTTTTCTTCCTCCTGAAGACTTAATGTAGAGTTCAAAAGTTCGGATTCTCGCCTAATTTGAATCTGATATGCGGAGAGAGATTATCGTTATTTTCGACTCGTTTCAACCACGAAAACAGCAAGTTGCATGTATTATCACTGACTATGATAACATTTACTAGAAAAATAATTCTTTCACTACGATGACTATAGTCAGAAATATTTTTCTCTCAGCGCAATAACAAATAACGATACAATGAAATGTATTGTGGACATTTGACGCACGGTTACGCCGAGTTAAAGTAACTAATGACCGAGCGGAGCGAGCACGAGATCTCGTGTAACTCGAGCTGTTATCGCGTTCAACTGCTAAACGAGCACGCCGAATACGTCCGGAATTTTTGAGACGCGCAGAAATTACTCCGTTCAGTCGCGGGATGCAACGCCGACGTGTTATCTTAATTACTCGCGAATTGTCCGATCGCCGGGCTGCTTAGGCGCGGGATTAGCGAGAAGACGTCGTGCTCGATTATCACGTTGCAATTTGCAAAATCACGTGCGAGTAGACTCGCGCGTTGCATTATGTAACTCGCGGATACTTCGGACATCGATAATTAAACGCATAATCGCCTTCGATGACGAAGCCGCTGGGACGTCTTTTTCGCCTTGGAAATTCTTCAAATCCTCCCGTGATTTGCCTTCGCATAGAAATTTCTTGCGATTTTCCCGAATACGACGTAAATTCTGTGATATAATATCCAAGATTATTATTTGAATGTAGAAAAAGAGCTGAATATTTACTTAATTCGAGTGGAAATTCGCTAAAGAATATTGGAGTAATTGTTTACCCGAATCGTTTATCCACGTATGTTTAAAACGTTACACCTCGCAACGAGAACCTGTGGGCGTTTAGATGTTTTCCAACCTAAATTCCGTAATTATTTAAGGAAATCGGATTTCGGGATCCAAATTAGATCGCAGGAAATTTTTCATGCGGGTCGAGCGAAATAAAAACCTGATGGGAATTCAATCGGCGAGTTAATTCAAGCCGATTCGACGTTAATTAATTTATCCGGACCGTCCGCGATCGAGCTGTGTAATCGGATGTAAAGCAACGGCCGTCCGAGAGGAAGGACGGCCATCCTCGGGGAATCCCGAATTTCCCATAGCAACGTGACGGTGCACTCCATTACCCATGACCTCCGCGCGAATCAATGCAGCTCCGTGCATCCCGGCGTGCAGCCCGAAATGCGGCCGTAGGCTAATAACCGCGGCGGAAATTGAGTCCGAGTTTCGTCAAAGCCATCCGCGAGTTTGGGATCCCGAAAATTCGGGCCGATTTTTCGCGCAAATTGTGTTTTCGGTCGGGACGTTAAATCGAGAAGAATATCAAAATCGCGCGTTGCGACACTCGGGGCTCGACGTGTCACGCGACGAATCGATAGAATCGTCCCGTTGTATATTAGACTACTAAAGTATCTACGAAAGGTTAAAAGCGACCAGACAAGACGGTGCACTTCCTTAACACGCGCTCGCGACGACCCGAGTTCACTCGCTTCCTCACGCGTCGCGCGAATAATGGGAAGCATAAAGTTGATAGACGCCGGGTCAGCGGGTTAATGAGTCACGGCTTTCGAAACGACGCATGAAAATCCGAAATGCTCCGTGGAGAGACGCGCAGTTTCGTCTGAGGAGCCGGGAGTTATTCATCGGAATTGCAAAAATGTCTACTTAAGAATGCCGCGGACGAATGATTTTATCGCGAGCGAGTCGAGAAGGACGCGACACCGTGAAGGAAAAAAACCCACGTTTATTAGGGGTGGTACCATTTCGGAGCTCCGAAATTTCGGTATGAGAAGATTAGAAAGTATCAGTTTAGATAATTTGTAGACTGCTCAGGTGAAAAATAGCGCGACGGAAACAGGAGTACGTTCTCGAATAGATCGAGACAGGAGCGAGGTGGGATTTTCGCCTCGAGGAAGCTGTAAAGATACGCGTCTGACGATGGATATCGAAGGCCAAAGTGAAGCCCGAGCTAATCACTGATCTCAATCGGTTTCATAAAAACTCGCGTCGGGGCGAGACTGGAACGAGCGCCTCGAGGGGACTATAAAATTACACATTTGTTAACGGAAAGACATCTCGATCGTCGTTAATAATAAACTTGTAATTAATAATTAGTTGGGACCGCGCGAAGGAGAGATTAAAAGGTCCTCGGGAGTCCCTCTCTCCAGGACGCGATCGCGACGCTCGAAAGTGCTCCGAAAGAGGGAACCCGCTCGCGCGAACTGGACGAGTTAATTTTAGTTTAATCGACCGACCTGATACGCAGAGAGCCCGCGTACGAGCGACGGTGCACGTACGAGGAGCGTGCACGACAGCGAGTTATACAAGGTGTCATCGAGCGAATGCGTTCCGAGGACAAAGCGAATTTTCGACTGATATTGCGCGAATAACCGTCGCGCGGGAACAATGTGTACACGATATATATCGATAGATTGGAAAATTAATTTCACCAGATTTAGGTTTAGACCTAATCATTTGGTTAATATGTGCTCGACGAACCGTTTGATTACTGCGACCAAAAAATTTAATACCTTGATAAAAATAGAGATGAGAAAAAAGTTGCTCCTACGAAATCTCGGACTTTCAATGCCGCAGTCTACACTGCATCCATCCGAATGTGTTATTTTTCCATATACATAAATGTCATTTATCTGAAGTTTTCTTTACCGTGCTTCTTGCCGTTTTAGATCACTTAAAACGTTCGCTCGTATTAAATTATAAGTCAAATCGTGTTAAATGACGGCAAGAAATGTATAAGGAAAGCCTCGGCTAAAATAACACATTTATAATGTAGCGCCTTACCTACCGAACTCTGAATGTTGCGGCGCGGTAAAAAAACATTTTCAAATTTTGCGTTAAATTTTTAACATACGTATTAATTTAACATATTTTGTATTTGATATGTTGTGAAAATTTTTCCAGAAACCAGAAGAAATTGGACAAATAATTTGATTGCGCTAACTTATATTATCTCCGTAATACATTTGATCGACGCGAGTAAAAGTTATATCGTCAACCGTAATGCGTATGAAATATTTTGGTAACAGTTACAAAAGTCCATTTTTCAATGTAGAGTGTAATAACAATCGGCGCGACGTTAGGATTTGCAAACACCTTCTCATAGAAAATCAGGGATAATCCGTTGCAATATAATCTCGCTTCGTTACGTCGATGAGCATTTTTGTAATGACAGGTGGGAAGGGATAATTTCATGACACGGCTGGAGGAAATACGCGCCCGTCACACAGATATATAGAAGCTGTGTAGCGCGACGGTACGCGCGTTGGCGGTTTACGTGCGTATCGGCACGAGTCTCGTTTGCTTCCGAGTTTTCCGACCCTTGGACAACGACGGGCGACGTCATCAATGCCCAGGATGCGGAATCGTTGACGAGCGCATCCGGCCAAGGCCGATGTTTCGAGCGCGGCGATGCATCGAGAGAATTTAACGGCTAGTTCTCTAATATCGATCGTAGAACCTGGGAATAGCTCGCGTGCGCTAGTGGATTTTACATGACTACGTTCAGCCTTTTATACGTAATGACTTTGTTTCAAACCCGCCGCGCTCGGATAAATAATGGATTTGTTTTTGGGGAAGCCTGCATGCACAGATGCTTCCTAAAACGCCAAGTCTCGAT